TATCCTCCACTGAGGATGCATAGTAGACAGCAGAGACGGAAGCAAATTCAGTAAAGGTAACAGCAACAGGACATACAAGTAAAATCATCACATTGAATGCACTAATCAATGTATACAAATACCTACAAATAAAAAAAGTGTGAAAACATTCAAAAAATTAGTTTTTCTACCAAAAACAGAGAGAGAGAGCAGGAAGTTGTGAAAGATTTAAAACAGGGGGTTCTCAACCAATGGGGAATTCTCCCCTCAGGGGGAATTTCCAGGTTCTAAGGGGAGTGAAGAATGGTAGACTCAAAATTTTAACTTTTGAACTTCCCAAGGCACAACCCACAATATGCATCAATTCACCCAACTGAGAGGTTATGCTGGATTTTGTTTCTGTTGGTTGATGTTTTTTGCCACTGTAAAAATAATGCATTTAAATATATACATACTGATAGGGAAAAGAATGAATAATATATTTTTTGCAATACACTTTTTGAGTCAGACAATCTTGGAAAGGTGGGAAATGACATCCTGACTTATGGTGAAAAGGGTGCATCATGCAAAATAGTCTGAAAAACCACAGATTTAATGCAATGCAATTAAAAACAATTTATAATCATTTTTTTCAGAAACTAATCATCAGGTGCCATCATGGAGTAAAAGCCAATATTTTATATTCCTTGAATTAATGTATATCCAGATATAATACAGTGGGTTAGAGTCAATCTTGTGGTATTTTTCTTTTTCTGTTAGTATTTTCTTATATTTTATTAAAACCTGAGCCTCAATTAACCATGACTCCACTATTTTATTTTTTCAGGCTTACAACCATATCACACCAGTTCTCATCCAATCACCAAAGTTAAGCAACAACAAGCCTGGTCAGTACCTAGATGGGTGACCACTTGGGAATACCAGGTGCTATCAGCTTTGATAAATGTAGTGAACGAGATAATCAGGTAATTTCCGGAAAAAGTTCATGTTTTGTGTCGATCTGCCAAGAAGGATTACCAAAAAGTAGTCATAAAATCTTCTAGCTAATAATAAAACGTAAGGACTTACTCGTCAACCCAACGACAGCATGTCGTCAATTCTGTGACGAAAAGAAAACAAGTCCGTCGCATGAGTCGCTATAAGAGTATATTGATATACAAATTACGGAGCATCCTATCCCAGCTGTCAACGAATGGAAAAAAATAGGTTCTGCTGATAAAAGCAGTTGGTGTTGTCGATTCGAAAAAAAAAATTCGGGCATTTTGGCTACGGCGTTTGTTGGAGAGTGAGTTATTTTCCTGACGTGTTACAAGCATTGTGATTTAAGATTGTAAAGGCGAATCAAATTTTTTGAGCATTTCTTTCTGTTCATACTCGAGTCTGGACTTAGTGATTTTTTTCTTTTGTGTTGTGAATGTAACAAATTTTCTTTGAGAACGAAACATTTCAAAAAAGCAAAATTGGTATAATGGATAAAGGCTCTTGAATGAGAAGTCTGGAAACAAGAGTTCTAATTCAAGAAGTTCATCAAATTCACTTATGTGCAAATACCCTTGGGAAAGGTGTGGATCCACCTCTTCTACCAACCATCTATTGGTTAAAATAGTAAGACTTGTATTTGAAAATCATTATTATCTTCAACTGTTTTTTGTTTGTAATACAATATTCACTTCCAATTTGAAAAAAAATTTATAATTTAAACATGTTTCAGCTTTAAATAACCTATAAAAGGTTGATAAACTATAAATCAAATTTTTTTGAAAAAAAAAATAAAATGAAATCGAAATGGAAATATTTTTGTCTTAATTAAGTAGGATTTTATAATCAAAATTGATAGAATGAAAATTTTTTTAAAAAAAAAAAAAAAAGTATTGGTGAGATAGCTAGTATAAGACATGATATTAAACAATACCACAGACACTTAATAAATATTGTTCGATCCTCTTCAGTTGTCATAGATTACACAGATTTTTATTTCATTGTTTTTATATATTTTAATTTATTAAGTTATAATGTTCGGAAATAAAAAAAACAAAAATCTAAGAATTTATGTTCGCATCAAACCTGTGTTTCTCATTCTTGATAACTTTTAATAATTAATATAACCATTGACTTATATTTGATAATTATACAATGATATATGTATTGAATATAAATTTTACTATATATGTATAAATCAATTAAAATATTAATTGATAATTAAACAACAGAAAATATTATAATTTAATTAATGATATAACATAACAGTTTTTTTAACATATTTTATGAAAAAATTTAATAACAAAGAAAAAAAATTAAAATATGGAAGAAAATCTATAAGCAGACAAAAATTAGGAAGATAATAAACAAAACAAAAAAATTCATGAATCAGTTTACAAAACAGGTAAAATTTATAATTGAACAAAGAAAAAAAAAAATTATGAAATACATTTTAACCAGAACCTCCCCATTATTTATTATTTTTACCAAATTTTAATTTTTCACATCCTTTAATGGACAAACAACCTTTTTGAGAATAAAAATGTAATCAGTCACTGGTAAAAAAAATTATAATTATTGCTTTTGGACTGAATTGACACTATTTTTATGATTTTATTAGCACCTGCCCAAATATTCCTATTTATGCTTGTCAATCTGGTCTCTTGTAAATATACAGAATAAAACTGTGTTTTTGTTTTTAAAATTACTAATTCTGAAATAAGGAACTGTTTTAGTTCCCATGAAAACGACAACCCAAATCATTTGATTTGGTTCCAGGATGAGTTTGCTTGAAGTTTACACCCAAGAAAGTAATTCTCAATTTTTTCTAGCCATGAGAACAAAACATCCATTCATCATGACTGGGAGATAGGGCAATTTTTTTGGTGATGATTAAAAATTTTAATTGAGTTTCAAGGCATTGAATGTAAAAGCTAGTTTTCCCCATAAAATGAATTTTTTAGATCAGATATCGAATTTTGCAAAATTTGATAATGATTTTTTGAGAAAAAGATTTCATCATCACCAGCATAGAATTTTTTGATTTTTTATAGTTTAAGGCATTAACATTATTCAAGTAAAAAGGGATGGTTTAAGAAGGAAACATGGATTTTGTATTTTTTGGCTTTTTTTTGTCCATTAACAAAATTTTTTCAAATTAGGAAAATTAAAATTTAAAGATTTTTATTCTGCTGTCATGATTGTTTAAAAACAAAGAAACATTTCAAATCTGGTAAAATATTCAAATTAAATCACAATTTTATAATTTTTTTTAACCGTTTTACCTTGAGGTGTTTCCAAAATTCATTCAATAAATAAAATAAGTATGATGGTAGTTTTTATCAGCAACAGATCAGGCTTTAAAACCTTCATAATTGCTTTGTCGCTCAAGAGATTATTTTTTGAAACTTTTGACCTTCTTTTGATTAAAAATTTCAAAATGATTACTCATGATATTTAGGATGTAATATTAAAACTAAGAGACATCTTGAAAGTCCAACATTATCGATATCGGTGTGATGGGACATTTTGTTCCAGGAAATTTCTTCTTCATTATTCATTAAATTTTCATCAAGTGATTACCAAATTGAAATGATTCCAGGTTGATCCATTAAGGATAAAACTAAAATTTGTCATATTGAACTTTTTATTAAGGGAGAAGATTAATTTAAACATTTTTTGAAGAAATCCCAGGCTTATTGAAAATAAAAAAATTTTGCTCATTGAGAAAGGGATATTTACAATGTTGAAAGAACCCAAACACTGATTCAAATCAAAATGATTAGGTGAAGAGCTTCACTGATCTGTCAAGGAAGAATGAAAATCAATGGATCCATTTTAATGGTGGGCACAGACATTTTGCCATTGTATTCATAGGGGAGTTAAAATCTCCAAATGGATCAGAGGATCCAATTTGGAATTTTCAAATTGTTAGAGAAAAATTCAAATTTTTATTACTTTTTTTTTCCAAAACTTTTTTATAAAATTGAAGTTCTGAATGCAGAAATAGTCAAATTCCCATTGAACCTACAATAAATATTGATCGACTGGTGAGCTATGAAATGCAGTGTCTTCCAAAAGAAATCAAAGCTGGCATAATTTTTTTTTTTTTTTTTTTTGTGGAGTACTATATTTCCATTCCAGAAAGGATCCAAAATTGAGAAGGAAAAGTGGAATTCATGCATATTTATTGAAGATTGAGAGGATTAAAGATATTTGTCAAATTTTTAGCTGTCCCAAAAAAAACCTTCATGTAAGTTTTTTTTTTCATTTATACAATTTCAAATCAGGGGATGCCTTTGGTTTGGCATCAATTGGAAGTGACTAGGGATGGTCAAACATGTCTGAACCTTACCTGAAAACTTAAATTAAGCATTTAAAAGGGCAGGATGAAGAAGAGGTAAAGGGAAAACTAAATGCTCCTAAGCATAATTAGTTAGATAATCTTTTTTTAGTAAATTTTTGAAGAAATATCTGCAATATCTGCCTTTTTCATTGGTTTTTATTTGATTGGACTAACTACTTTTTGTGTTGCTGCAGATATGAAAGCTAGCTGAGGGAAATTTAGTGAAGATAGTATGAATGCTCTCAGATATTAGAGCAGGAATTACTATCCCATCATCTTGAGGAAGATACAGAGCAAAGACAAATGTGATACTATAGATAGAATGCTATTAAAAGCATATATTTTTTGTCCTTTTTTTTTTTTTTCATATTTTTAATTTTTAACCCATGAATCCATAGGCACCATTTGCTACTGTTTTTTTGGGATTAGTATCCAGGAGAAAAGTTATCTGCATTTGGACTGACATTCATATTTGTAAAACATGTTTTTCTAGAAGTGGTTTGAACTGAGTTCAATATTATTCATTAGAAAAGACAAAAACGAAAAATATTAATTTTTCAACAAAATTTTAAAATGTTTTCCAAATAGGCAGAAAATTATGTTTTTGAGAGTAATTAAAAAAAAAAAAACTTAATAAAAGGAAAAATTCCTACAGGTTAATTTACATTGTTCAGACAATTTGATTAGAAAATAATATAATTTTTATAAATTTAAACTTTAAAATGCGTCAACAACATTTATACAAACAGGCATGAAAAAAAAAATTTTTTCAATTTCATTCCTTGTAATGATTTTGTTCCAAATAAAATAATTTGGTGTTTATACAAATTCATCAAATGGTTTTTTTAAAATAGTCTGTATTTTTTTTTCTAAATGTTTTTAATAAATACATGTAATAATTTGAATTCAGTCACTTTACAGGAATACTTTGAAATAGCACAAATTAATTATCATTCAATTGATTTTTTCTAAGTACCTACACCTTAAAAAATACGTGGACACAATTTGAATTTTTAAAAATCAAAAGTTTTCATTTGCGTCATTTTGAATTTAATTGAAAGATAAAGGATTAAAATTTACTATTTCCAGTTTCAAAAAAGCTCAATTGTGATTTGTATTTTTTCCAATTCTTGAAACAGAGCTTGAGCCTTTCAGATCCATATTTTATTTCAAAAAATTATTGCAATGTCAACATCATTTTTTTCTTATTTTCGTTTATTGCAAAATCATCTTTGATGATGTTTTCTTTTTTGTGTGAAGACATATTACAAAACTAAGTCTTTCAAGATTGTTTAAAAAAAAAAAATTTTCCTCAACAGAAAGAATTTGAATTACAAATCAATTTTTTTATACAGTTAACTCAACATAAATATAGAATTATAAATTAGCAGACATTTGAGTATATATGTTTAGGGCTGTTATCTATTTTTATTGAAAAAATCATTTGAGACTAAATGGTTACAGATCCTAATCCTAAAATTGCTATCCTTTTAGGAGTTCAAAAAATGTAATTTCCATTACTCTATCAATTTAGCTGTTTGAATTTAAGGATAATCATTGTTTTCAAAAACAAAATAACCTGTGCCTGTATTTCAAACAGAAATTATA